TTAGTCTAATAGTCATGGAATTAATAATTCAACATCTCTTAATCGCCGACTAATTAAGAGGATTATTGTTCTTTCATCAAACAATTTGACATGGTTATTGCCTTATTAGCGAAAATAGTTCATGATAACTTCTTACTTTGTCCACCATAAATCATTATGGTCATTTCATGAAAAATATGTAAATATTCTCGTTAAATTGTCACGTGAACGACCACGTGACCACCTTTTTAAGGATATTTTTTGTCAAACCAACCCCTTCACTTAACAAAGATATTGACAGATTTTTCATGAAAAAACCATAATGATTCACGTTAGACCAATTCATGGACCATTCTATCTATCAATTTTCTTTATCAGGGACAAAAGTAAAAAGTTATCTCAATCTCAAAGATCATTTTGACTAAATATCGTACTTTATCCTTTGTTGTCACATTATCAACCTAAATTATGAATTAGAGGAATTTTTGTTTAAAATGTGTGCTTCAAATTAGCAGTTCAACAACAATATATTGGGTAGTGCTATCTACACTCATTTTTACTTTTCACACATTCTTCTCAATTTTCAGCTATCAAATGAGTTGAAGAATTCAATAGCAAAAACTTAACAAAGGTATGTGGGAGGCAAAAACTTAACAAAGGTATGTGAGAGGTAAAACTGGTTGTGTGAATATCTCCAATAACATATTAATCCTTAGCCTAATCTCGTCGCAAACCTTACCAAAGCCTCAATCTTTGTGGCTAGATCCACGTCTAGATCTTGAAAACAAAATACACACATACACACATACAATTCTAGTTGCGATATCTTGCCCCACAAGTATTGTAATTAATTGTAATTTAAATTTCTTGTTCTTTAAGAGCCTGTTTAGTATGTTGGGTGAGATTTGGCCTTAGAGATATGATTAGATTTGCTGGGATTGGTTAGGCAAGACTTGTAGCCTGTGCATATCCATAGGTTAGATAACCTACTCTATATTCATAACTCATCATGTTCAATCTCATCCATCTCATATTTTGAGATAACAAACAACGGGCTAGACAAGTCCATTTTAATTTGTTGCAACCTATCTCAATCATCCCACCAAATAGGCCCTAAAGATTATATTTCTTATAGGAGCTCAATACTTGATGTGTATATATAAAATGGTTAACCACATGAATAAAAATAATCCAATTCAATAGTCCTATTTTTTTTTTTTTTAAAAGGGGCCAGATGGTGGTTTCCCCATACCAATCCACTTTTTCGGAGACAAAAAAACTCACAGAGGCATTTCAGCCTCTTTTGGCTACCATTGCGTGATTCATCAGAGTTAGAAATCGACTCAAAACATACCGTATAGAATGCGAGCGTGAAATTCGTCATCAACTATTAAACCACTCCGTGTTGATTAATATATATGGATAATGAGTTTATATGACACTTTGAAAGTATGATAATAACGTTGTGTCGATGAAGGGGTAGCCTGAGAAAATATTGTTCAGTATATGGGGGAACTTGATTCTATTGGGTGATTACTTTTGGGAATAGCTCCATTTTTTATATATATAAATACAAATTTACTGATGAGAATGAAACTTGTCGTGCAGGAGTCAAATTCATTCGTGGTTGGAGATTTGCTCGTGCGCATGTGATAAAAATAAAACTTCACATGTTACAAAAATATTACTTAGTAATAAATAAATAAATAATGGTAAACGTTCGTACATTAATACGTCAGGGTTTACAGCTTGATAAACGGATTGCATGCATGACAATTCATAAAATACTAGTAAAGACAGATTTGAAGATTAGTCCAATATTAACGAATTCTGCGGTTGAAAGACTCCACGAAAATGAAAGATAATAAATATTTACATAAGACCTAGATTTCCTTCATATTATTATAATAAGATTTTGCCAAAAAATATATTTGTGACAAGACTTTTCTGGATTTTTTGAATTCTTATCCTGAGATATGAACTTGATGAATCTGGACAGCTGTTTTCCTTTTTATTTTCCAATAATTAAAGGGATGGTTCAGAAGTAATTTTAAAATAATTAAAAGTGTGTTTGGTGAAATTGATGTTGGATTTCAAAATATTTAAATCATTTTAAATGATTTTTTGAAGAAATACCAGATATGTGTTTCTTGTAAGAAGTACTTAAAGTATTTTTTAAGGATCTACTTGGATTTTAACTAAGAATTAGTTTTAAAAGCATTTCCACAAAAAGCAGTTTTAATCATTTAAAAAGCACTTCTAAATGAGCTACAGAGCTTGTTTGGATGTGCTTTTAAAATGACTGAAAGTGTTTTTGATGAAAATATTTTTAGAACCAATCTTTAGTAAAAATACAAGTAAATCCTGAAAAAACACTTAAAGTGCTTTTTGGAAGAAGCACATAACTGATGCTTCTTGCAAACCTAAAACAATTTTTTCTAAAAGCACTTTCAGTCATTCTAAAAGCACATCCAAACGAGCCCACAATAGTTTCTCCAATGTCCATTTTCCACTAGATTTCCATGATTTTAATTCATAGAATAAATTTGTTCATCGTCTCTAATTTGGGAGTGAGCTACCATTACATTATGTGCATTCGGTGAATTTAAATTTCAAGGTTCAGGTGCGGGTAAATTAAATCTCACTCATTCAACTATGACTTGGTGGTAATCCATAACAATTAAGGGTAGTGAGTAAGTTTGTTCTCTTGGAATATATGTCAATTCAGTACTTCATTTAATTGCATATTTCCTGCAGTTTGGTTCAATATCTCTTGAGCAAGAAAGTAAGAAATTTGATTAGTCTAATAGTCATGGAATTAATAATTCAACATCTCTTAATCGCCGACTAATTAAGAGGATTATTGTTCTTTCATCAAACAATTTGACATGGTTATTGCCTTCTTAGCTAAAATAGTTCATGAGATTGAGATAACTTCTTACTTTGTCCACCATAAATCATTATGGTCATTTCATGAAAAATCTGTAAATATTCTCGTTAAATTGTCACGTGAACGACCACGTGACCACCTTTTTAAGGATATTTTTTGTCAAACCAACCCCTTCACTTAACAAAGATATTGACAGATTTTTCATGAAAAAACCATAACGATTCACGTTAGACAAATTCATGGACCATTCTATCTATCAATTTTCTTTATCAGGGACAAAAGTAAAAAGTTATCTCAATCTCAAAGATCATTTTGACTAAATATCGTACTTTATCCTTTGTTGTCACATTATCAACCTAAATTACGTATTAGAGGAATTTTTGTTTAAAACGTGTGTTTCAAATTAGCAGTTCAACAATAATATATTAGGTAGTGCTATCTACACTCTTTTTTACTTTTCACACATTCTTCTCAATTTTCAGCTATCGAATGAGTTGAAGAAATCAATAGCAAAAACTTAACAAAGGTATGTGGGAGGTAAAAATGGTTGTGTGAATATATATAGAGTAGTGCTATTCTATTGACACACAATTTTACCTTCCACACACCCTTGTTAATTTTTTGCCATTAATCTTCTTTATTTCATTCGATTCGACGATCGAAAATTGAGACATGTGTGATAGCAATACCCTACATACAAGCATCCCAAATTTTGTTTATGAACTGATTATGCTTTATTTTCTAATGAAGTTGTTTAGAAAACATGGTCAATAAAATAGAGGATTAGGATTTTTGACATTTCAACATCACAACATACATGAATTCAAATTTCATAGCATGCAAGTCAAAGTTAATTAATCAAAGAAAGTAATAATTTATAAAATGACAGAATTACTTTATGTCAAGCCTTAGTCCAATGATTTTACCTGGATAACTAACATTTTAATTTTATAAATACCATGGTTGTGTTTGAGTGTGACATGCACGTGTGTGTGTGATAGAGAGAAGGAGGGGTTGAAAGAAAGACAATGAAATTGTCAATAGCATACTTACCTGAGTCCCCACCATAAACTCATGGAATAGAATACTAAAACTCATTGGGGAGATTCGATGTAGCGAAGTTAATTAGGGCAGTATACTTATTTATTTATATTTAAGTTCAAATCTTGATTTGACGTACCGAAGTTAATTAGGGTAGTATGCTCATTTATTTGTGTTCAAATTGAAATATTTCTTCTGTAGTTTAAAAAAAAATTAGATTATAAAATCGTGATGTAAGCATTCATTAAAATCCAGAAAACTTTAAAAAAAGATACAAACTTTTAATGACTAAAATACACGAATAAAATCATTACCACCAACTGAATCCAATTCTCATATGTCACCAACATTGTTTTTACACAAAAATTAAATAGAAAAACAAATACATCATATAATTTCTTGCATTACATAATTATATGCTTCACTTTCATTCAATATTCACTTTAAATTCAGAATATCTGTACACTATCAACTCACACCAATAATACTAGCTGAAGCTGCTTTTTTTTTTTTTTTTTTTTTTTAAATAATAAAACCATATTAGCCTTATTTTGCTGGTTTGAAATTATTAATAATTCCAAAAATTATCCAGGCCGGCTGCTGCAGCTGGAGGATCTTGAACACCAAATGGCCTTCTTGCCATGTTAAGATTTGACATGACTGAAGAGATTTCAGTGTTCATATCGCTTGTGAGGCCGGTTTCTTGGGACACACTCACCATTTCTCTCTCTGTTTTGAAGCTAGGCTGCCTCATGTTCGCTGCATTTGTTTTCAAACGAGGCCCGCAGGATGGACTGATCTTGCAGTAAATTTGAACACGGGAACTGAAAATTCGGCGAAATCGGAGCATTATGAGCAGAGTAGAATGAATTGGGAAATGGGATTATTGGGAAAGAGTTGGAAGTGTTTGAAGAAACACCAAAGAGAGTATTGTTGTTCATGTACTCAACAATATTCACTTGGTTTCTTTGAACATCAGTGGGATCAGGGTTCGAGAAGCAGGGCACGTAATGGGACTCGGAAGCAGGTTTCGCCTTGGCGGGGCTATAGGGCGAAGAATCCATCAATGGCGGTAAGCCAGAAGGACCGATTTCTTTTCCGAGAGAACCGAAACTCATAAATCCAGAAATATGGGTTTTCTTGCCACCAGAATTCTTTTCAAAAACCCTGCAGATCACCAATTCATTCTGCAAAGTGCAGCACAAAAAAAGGCGCAAATACCAGCCTATCAATCTTTGCATATGCATAAATGAGGTCACTGTCCACCTTGGGCTCTCTCACCTTTTCCCTAACCATCAGAAGATACCTCACCAAGTCATGGTACATATCTGCATCCTCAGAAGCACGAATAACGTCCAAGAATTGAGTGGCATCATCTGCACGGATAAATGACTCAATAGCATCGCTCACCAGACCCTCCCGGAGCTGAGCCTTTGCAACCTGGCTCCAAACAGCATCTTCTTCCACACGGAACGCAAACTCAACAGCCCTATCAATGCTTCGGATGTTATCCAGCAAGACATTAACTGCTTGGACATTCAAGTTAAACTTCTTGAAGATTGCAAACGCTTCCTCAAACAGTTGGGCTTCCACAACTACTTCCCCAACTGCAGGTCCATCAAAATTATCAAGCCTATTTATATAATCCATAACTCTCGATGGATATGCCTTGATGGAGGTCAAGATTAGCAGGTTTTGCAGATTAAAGTTCCCACCGAAGGCAGAGTTTTGAAGCACAATCTTTTCAAGAAGCTCAATTAACTCATGGGGCAAATCAGGAGTCATGAAAGCCTTAACAGCAGCAGAAACTTGTTCCGGGCTCTTGCTTTCGGGCAAGGCAGTAGAAACAACTTGATCAATAAGCTGTCTTCTGTACTCATTCTCAGGGTCAAGAACTTTTCCCCAAAGATCTTCATCCATCCTCTCAACCACATACCTAATACCAACAAATTAGTCAGTAAACGTACACGTAGTCAAATAAGATGAAATGTTTAAAAAAAAAAAAAAACATAAAATACTGATCACCAAGTCAAATTAGTCAGTAAACCTACATGGGGTTCTTATTTGTGACATTAATGAGTTCAGCGTCACATCGTCACATTTTCTCCCATTTTCGCTTTCCCTTCATTTGAAAAATAAATAAAAAAAGTAAATCAAATCGAAACAAACAAAATCCAAACAAATTTGATAAAAAAGGATTGTGTTATAGAAACAAAACAAAATTAAAGTTTTTGTTCTAGGAAGCTTACAAGGCAATTCCCAAGGCTCCGACTTGTTCAAGTCCACCTCCCCAATTGCTTTACAAGAGAAGCTGGTATCGATCACCTTCTTGTGCAAGTAGTGAGAAATAAGCTCTTCGTTGGTTGGATGGAATCGAAATCCCGGCGGCAAATCGATCTGATCATCCTCCTCAACAATCCCAGCTGGAACGTTTTCCATTTCTTCCTTTTATGATACCCTAAAACCCCAATGATTCTTGTCTAAAACCCTTGATTCGAAATCTTGGTTCCGATTGAAAAGTAAGTATTTTCGCAATCCACCCTCGGTAGACTCCTCACAAACTCTCAAACTTCTATGGCTTCTTCCAACCAACAGCTTCAACTTCCAGATCTTAAAACACCTTATATAGAAAGCAGAACCAGAAAAGACTCATGCAAAACGTGCTTTTCTAAGGAGCAAAAGAGAAATAAAGCTTAAGGAAAGGGAACGGGTAATTGGATACAGAGGAATAAAAGAAAAGAAGCCATGGGAACAAGTTGTTGTATAAGCTGAAAGATGGATTCAGATGTTAAGAGAAAGAAAAGCACTATGGGAAGCAGAAGCCCCTAAATACTGGTGCTTTTGAAGAGCAAGAAACGTGGAATGGAAGGCAACTTAGGTAGGCCGTTTTAGCTTCTCTTTAACTTTTTCTGTAATAATTCTACCCCCATCTTAAAAATTGGACCATTTAAACAAACAACCCATTCAAAGACTATGCATGTAGTTTTGATTTCATTACCACCAATTTAATATGTTTTGGTTTTGTAGTTTAGGAAAATTTTACCATGCTCCAGACATACGGTGTATAGTCTGCACAAGATTTTCGTTTTTTTATTTGATCAAAAGTTCAAAAATCTAACAGTTTAAAACTCGGTTTTGATTCACCAATTTACAATGTTTCAGCTTTGTGAATACTTTATTTTGATTTTATTATTACTTTACTTGACAAATTAAAAAGTTATTAAATTTTTAATTGTATGTTTTTTAATAAATTGTACTATATTTAATTCAACAAATTATATTCATTGTGATGAGTGGATAGGACTCGGATGTTACCGGATGTTTGTTTGTATTTGCAGGAACTAGATCCTCTCCTGAGTTAAAGATGAACAGCCCATCTGAGGCGTTCAAACATGATCCAACAATTACAATTATTATAACTTTTAGAGGGACCTCTTGTTTGGAGCCGTTGGATCAAATTTCAACAGTCCAGATGAACTGCTCAGGAGGATCCCCATCCTGAACTCAGGAGAAGATCCAGTTCGTATTTGCATACCTGAATCATCAGCACACGTCAAAAAGAATGACAAAAATAAATAAATAAAGTGTGAAGCATTTAGAAGAAGATTGGAATATAATCTGTTTTTGCTGAAATAAAATTAGGGCATTCACAAAAATAAATACATATTTTATGCAAATATAGTGATACCAGCTGTGTGAATGCATAGAAGATTACAAGACTTTTGCTGTGTCCAGCTCTCAAAAATTAGACAAAGCACACTTTATTCACGCAAAAAGGACCTCTATGACCCTTTTTTTCCAAAGCATATATATATAATTAATTAAAAAAAATTAAAAAAAAAGGAAAAAAAAAAAACAGAGGAAGATAAGGTCGAAACGGGAATAGTTATTCGGATCCGAACCATCCGGATAATGCGGACCTCCCTACAATCACTCACTTCCCTCTCCCCCTCCCCATCACCTTTCCATTTTCTTCTTCTTCTTTCTCTCTCTACAGTTTTACTTCATTGATCGCGGTTGAAGAAGAAGGCAACGATGTTGAAGGGAAAGAGATGATGAAAAGTTGAAGAGAAAGAGTGACCTCAGCCGCACGATTTTACATGAACGACCAAAATTTTGAGGTCTGGAGGATCCGGATGGTCCGGATCCAGAGGGGATCTGTTCCGGTCGAAACAGACACTGCAAAAACTTTCATGCAATTATCACTGAAAATGATAACAATTAGGTTAAGTCAAATATCAGAATTCAAATTTGCGCCATGTAGTCAAGACGTGAATGATTTTTAATCTGTTAAATATTAAAAATTGCATTATTTGTAATCGATATCCTAACTTATTTGCCAACTAGTTCATTGTCTAGCGATACTAATGTATTAGCGTCGAACGAGATTTTAGATTCATATTTAAGTGAGTTCGTGTAAAATATGATCAAGTTGCACCCTTAATTAATGATAGATTGATCATATTATGACAGCTTTCTCGTTAAAAAAACAACTACTATACGATGTCTCCTTGGCAACAATAATATTAATTAATCAAAGTTCCAACTTGTTGCAAGGGTGATGCATGTAAAAGTTGTAGTGATTAAAGCCATTAAGTGGTTAGTGGTTAGGTGAAAGAAATTTTTGAATGAATTTGTTAATGTATCTAATTAAGCTAATTTGTCCTCTCTCTTAAGAAGATTAGTGCAATTTCAACTATATGAACCTTTAAACGTTTGTAATTTTTCCTTTATGGTTAAATGAAAGCCTGCTTTTTGAATTCTGATTTTACTTTATTTCATAAAAATCTTGAATAATGCTTAATTTGTACAAGTGATGCATGTATGTTAATTTAATATCATTACATATTTTACAGAGACTTTTTAAAGTATCTAGAACACGGGATGGTACACGACATGTCATTACACAAGTGGTGGTAAACTTGAAAAATAAAGCTTTCCTCTATTTATATAATGAATTATGAAATACCACCCCGTGTTCCTTGCATACACTCCCCAAAACATTTCCCTATTTGATAGGGATCACTACATAATACTTGCAAACAGTCTACAATTTAGCTCCATTTTGAGGAACTAGATCCTGAGCTTAGGATGGGGATCCTTATGAGCAGCTCATCTGGGCCGTTCAAACTTGATCCAACGGCTGCAATTATTATAATTTTTAGACGGGCTTCCTGTTTGGAACCGTTGAATCAAAATTCAACGGCCCGGATGGGCTGCTCAGAAGAATCCCCATCCTGAGCTCAGGAGAGGATCCAGTTCCGCATTTTGATGGCAATTCAATAAGTGAAATTGACTCATTCGTTTCTTAACTATTAATCACCATATTTAATTTAAGACTAGGTCAAATATTATGGTCTTTCTAAGGTTGAAATCAAATCAGCAAAAATATCATGATAATTTCATGTTGTCTACCTAAAACCAATTGTTTAATGGAGTTTGACTCTGGAGGCCATCTGGATTTATGTAATTGTTTGATCACTCATGTTGAGGGACTCTTAATTAATCGCATTCTTTGCCAATTTGAATCTTAATCAACTTAAAAGGCCTATATATCTTTGTTTTACTTTCTACAGTCGACTAATTAGACAAATCCAACATGCCTAAAATCATTTAATTTGTAGAATTATAACGTAACTTGTCGTTAACACTTCTAAATAGTAATCTTACGGTACAAAATAAGTGAGAAATGAGAGATTGAGCACTATTTTGAGGTGCTAAAATATTTCCAATTATTGGATTATTATTTTTTTAGGAAGTCTCTGAAGTATTTGTTTCCCCAGACTATTTATTTATTTTTCTCTTCTCAAAAAATAAAAATCTCAATCTGTATATCGAATGCATGCACGCCCACGTTCACTTTCAACTTTTGCACAATTAGCGAAACTGGCCTTTCCTTTTCAGGAAACAATTCCAAACTTCCAACCACGACTGGACACGCATGCCCTTAGCTTGTCCGTGGTATTTCAATCATGTAGGTCACCTCAAAAATGGACCGATCATGGGTGTGCACATCATGCCACGTATGTGCCAAGAATGAAAGAATGGACACTGCCGCACCTGATCACAAAACCAACCACGAATAAGGTATCTCTCTCTTTTGAAAATTATTGCCCTGATTTTAGAACAAGAATAATAAAACTGGATTCGTTTAATTAATCATCTCTAGGGTTTGACTGTTTACGTGGGTCCGGTTGCCTTCGTTGCAACATGTGGTAGTGAAAAGAAACACATATGTGGCAAGGACGGGTTGGTCCAGAAGCCAGGATGAGAGAATTATATCACCATATAAGAAATATTGAGTTAGGCAAAGGTCGGCTGAATTGATTGAAAATATTAAAGACCAATATATATGCAAGTAAACTTTTGCTTTGAGAGATATGAAGATGAAGATCTCCATTTATACTATCAGTGGTTCTATTTTGAAGCTGTCAAGCTGTGGATGATTGACTATTTCATGGCTCGATCTGCCTAACTTGGAATGTGATTGCAGTGATTTTATATATATATGTTGAAGCTGACCTAAATTGTGGTTCAAACTTGCCATTTTCTGATCTTTGGATCCATCTAATTTTAAAAGTAATGGATTCAGAATTAATAAGCAGTTCGTGTTGGCTAATATTAAGGCAGAAATTAAAGGAGTTGTGGATTGATGGATAGAAATTTTGTTTTATATATAATGCACCCAACCACTTGTGAGGATGTGGAGATCATGCCGGAGTTGATGGATAAAAATCTTGCAGGAGTTTATAATTTCTTTTATTGTCAATTTGTTTTTTTTTAGCAATGATGGGATTTTCAAGATTGAAGAGTTTCCTCTCAATTCGTTTAGTGACTGATTCATAGAATTTTATATTTATAATTGGAACCGTTAATATAATAAATCTAGCTCTCTGTAAAGATCATCTCCACAAAACATTAATTAAAATTGAGATTGTTTAGTCAATCAATTGTAGCAAATAGAATCCATCCATTAGTTTTTATACAGTTTGATGACTAAACAATCCCAAATTTTATTATTTTTTACAAAGATGATTTTTAAAAAGTGCTTTATAATATGAAAGGAATTTAATCTATAGACATGAAGTTCCATTAAATCGGATATGTAGTGACTTAAGGAGGAACCCATCCTTATCCATTGCGGAGACAAGATAATTCCTTTGTTTTTGGAGTGCAACCTCAACTTCTTTTATGGTATAAAAGTATGCGTGTTCGCCTACATATCCACGTCACCCTATGTGTTTGATTTGTCATTGATGCACGTGAAAGAGTGTGTGAGAATGACCTAAGTGCAGTACAACATTTCCCCTGTATATATATTCATTGTCCAATTCATAAATATACTCCCGTAATCCTGTTGTCATCCCTTGCAAAATGAGAAAAAAGAAGGAAAAAAAAAATTTGGCTAGTAATTAGAAAGATAAAAAATTGTAGTGTTATATTGATTTCTAAGATGATTTGGTCTGATCCAAATTCCTCGTATTAGGGAGAGATTATGATGCTTGGCAATTTTCATTTGACTCGCTATTCATTAGTTGTAACGAACAAATCATCTTGAAGAAATTAAATTAACTGAGCAGCAGCTAATTAGTTTAAGCCATCCTTAAATCAACTTACTGACCGACTGACAGTCAAACAGAAGCAAGCTAATAAAGTAATCAAGAGAAGATCATTACGTAAAATAATGTGTTGTTTTCACATTATATTCAGCAGATTTTGATGACCAGAAAGCAAGACCCCGCAAGAATCTGATATGAAGTAAGCTATTGCAGACGTGTCTCCATCTGTATGCAAAAGTTGAAGCAAATAAAGAAGAGGAATAAACATTCCACAAACTAAAATATTTTGTTTGAAAGCCACAAATTGAATATTGTAATTAAGTTGTTAAACACATAGTCTTAAAATATTATTATGTAGTACTGGCAGCTTATTTAATTATGT